AGCCCCACGCGCCAAACTGTTTACCCTTAAAATTGGATAACAATTAAACTTGTATTGTGGTTTTAAGGACACGTGATTTCACCTAATACCAATTGATCAATGTAAAGATTAGTAATAGAAATTAACAATAGGATAAAACAAACCAGTGTTTGAACGAAATTCGGCCTTCGAGCGTGGATACCCTCGAACTAATTGGTGCAAGAACAGTTAAAAATATAACAAGCTGATGAACAAGAATATGAACCAAAGAGAAAATGTTATATTTCTTTGATATGTGAGAACAATGTCTCTTACAAATGATTAGAAACCCTTTTATATAGTAGATGAATTCTACTTAAGGTACAATTCTAACTATGGAAGGAAATCCCATGATTGGCTGAACAACAGGTCTTGACTTGATTTGCGCCGAGATTCTAGCCACGATCCTTGGTCGATCTCGGATATCTCGATTTTCTGTTACTCGACTTAGCTTCAATTTTCATCTTATTTGGTCTCGGTCTTCGTCGACCTCGAGCTTAATCGGTCCCAGGATCTCGATAACTTAACCCTGCGCCATAGATAAAAATCGAGGTCTAAACTTGATCTACCATGTTCTAGCCTTGGTCAGTTGAACAAAAAGGGGCATCCCGGTTTTGACCGTATATACGTACGATTATTAAGATATTTATTCTTGAACTGTGGATAATTAAGCTTTTTGTTTCTCGGAATCAAATTGTGTAAAGTTTGTTTTATTTAAATAATAATAAATCCAAAATTCAAATAAAAGAATAATAAAATATAATTCGTAATTTACAGGAATTTGTAACAATTGTTTGCTTTAAGCTCACTCCAAATATTAGTGGTGGTGTTGTTTAATGCTTATAGTTGTGAGGCGGTAGCTAGTGCTATTTACGGTTATAGTGGAGGTGGCTAGTGGTGGTCGGCTGTAGTAGAGGAGGTGATAGCTACGTGATGATAAGCAGTAGAGGTGGTTGTGTAGTGGAGCATACTAGTTGTGGAGCCAATAATTCTGATAACAATACTTAAATGTCACAAAGGAAATTCGAACATGTCATCTAATGCGAATTTTGAACCGCCTTTTTCATTACTCTCTCCTTCGCCAAAATATTATATAGCATAGACTTAACTTCATAACTGGTTAGAGGTGCAAATAGTTAGTGGTGGAGGTGCACTACAACATTATACATTTATAGTTATGAAAAATATTGTAGCTAAATATGAAAATTTTTATGGCAAAATACTTTAGCCACAATATTTTTTTTCGTAGCATTCGTAGTAAAATGTAGCGTAGCTAAAAGTTAGCTACATATTTAATATGGTCCGTGACTAAACAAATGATTTTATTCTCTTGCCACGACGAACAAAATTTGTAGCAATCTTTATATTGTAGCCACGAAATGTTGTATTGTAGCAAAAGATTTAATTTATTTGCTATGCAAACTCAAATTTTGTGGCTATTTCTATAGTCTAGTCTTGTGGCAATCGTACCCATCTTTAGCTACAACTTAAAAACTCCATAGCTATGAATTGAAGCATTTGCCATAAACCTTTTCGTAGCTAAAATTCCATACTTTTAGCCATGAAATATATAGAACTATAGCAAAAGATTTTTCTCATTGGCTACGGAAAGTAAAAATAAATAGCCATGTTCTTGATACGTGGCAATTATAGGAGTATATATTTAGCTATAAATTCAAAAATTCATAGCTAAGATTCCATTTTCTTATGTCATGAAGCATAAAATTGTANATATATTGTCACGACCCGAACTTCCCACCGTCGGGACCGTGATGACACCTAACATTGTACTCGCTAGGCAAGCCAACGTTACAGATTATTTTACCTTTTTCCTTTATCTTTTAACAGTTTACAAGTTAACAAAAGTAAAGCAGCGGAATAAATGCGGAAGAACAGAATTTAACAGATTATCTTAATACAAATATCGAAACCGTAATAAAACTCCACTCAGAACTGGTGTCACAACTCACAGACAGTCTACGAATACTACAAACAATGGTCTAAACAAAGAAATATACATTTGTCTCGAAAGTAGATAAAATAAAAGTGAAATAGGATAGAAGGGGACACTAGGGCCCGCGGACGCCTGCAGGACTACCTTGGGTCTCCGATGGACTGAAGGCAGCAACCTTGAACTACGGTCTGTATGGTCTAGTACCGGGATCTGCACAGAAAGTGCAGAGTGCAGTATCAGTACAACCGATCCCATGTACTAGTAAGTGCCGAGCCTAACCTCGGCGAAGTAGTGACGAGGCTAGGACACGACAACCAACATAAACCTGAGCAGTTAAACAATATACTAACAGAGTAACAATAATAGAAGCTAAGCAGAAATTAACGGGAAGGGGCAACATGCTATGGGGGTACCAAAATAAGGAATCACATAAATAACAGAAATTAAACAATTAATGCATTTGAACCGATAACAACAAATAATCACAACAAACAGAAAATGTACGGCATCACCCTTCGTGTTTTTACTCTCAATCCTCACCATGCAATCAATAATAGAAATGTGCACGACATCATCCTTCGTGCTTTATCACTCTTCCTCACCATATGAATAATAGGAATGTGCACGACATCAACCCTTCGTACTTATCTCTCTTCCTCACCATATGCATCAATATAAATGTAAATGTGCACGATATCATCCTTCATGTTTTATCACTCTTCCTCACCATATGCATAAGTATGAATGTGCACGGCATCACCCTTCATATTTATCACTCTTTCCTCACCCAAATAGTAGAAACAATAACATCCCGGCAAGGGAATCTACAATAGAAACAATAACATCCCGGTAAGGGAATCAGCTATAGCCAATCTCTTTTCAACAGTTAACTTTGCAAAATAAGTCCCAACTTGGGTCAACACTCAACAATGGTCAATCACCAAGAAACTATCATAAGTCTTGTTCAACAGGGATAATCATCAATTTAATTATGAACAGTACATAATAAAAGTTACAACAGTCATAGTATAAGACTCACTTGCATGTTTGACACCAACGTATAGATACTCGTCACCACACCTATACGTCGTACTCAATACTAACACGTGGCAAATAAGACAATGGCGCCTATTCCCTCAAGCTAAGGCTAGACCAAACACTTACCTCGGTTCCACGGCCAAACTCAAGCCTCGAATACCGCATTTCCCTTAATTTCCACTTCCAATCCGCCCGAATCTATTCATAATTAACTTACTAACATCAATTGAAGCCAAAAAAACCAATTCAAGTGAAAAATTATGGATTTCCCAATATTCTTCCCAAAAGGTCAAAACCCGACCCCGGGCCCGCCTGGTCAAAACTCGAGGTTCAGACCAAAAACCCATCCATCCACGAGCCCATATATGTAATTAGTTTTGGAATTCGATCCCAAATCGAGGTCTAAATTCCAAAATTTGCAAAATCTCCAATTTTTCTCAAAATCCCTAATTTATACCCTTAAAGAACAAGATTTAGGCCTATAAATCTAATGGGTATTGATAGAAAATAAAATAAATGAGTTTAAGAACACAAACCTATGATTTGGTGTTGAAATCCCTCTTCAAAAATCTCCCAATGTCGGATTCTATGGAAGAAGATATGAAATTTTGGTTTAATCACGACCTAGGTTCTGTTTTAAAATCATTGGACAGGTCTTCTTCACGTTCGCGAAGCAGTAGTCCTATTAACCTTCGCGTTCACGAGATACACTATGCGTTCGCGAAGGTATATCCCCCTGACCTTCGTGTTCGTAAGTCGCTGACCACGTTCGCGTAGTGTATCCATCCCCCCTCCCCCGTTCCCATTCTTTGCGTTCGCGATAGCCTAGTCGCGTTCGCGAAGGGTAACACCCCCTACGCCTCGCGTTTGCTACTAGTGCCTCGCGTTCGCGTAGAAGGATTTCTCCTTCAGACCAAGCTACTCTTCGCGTTCAAGAGATGTCCTTCGGGAACGCGAAGAAGGATACATTTGTGCACCTACGATAGCAAAACAACAGAAATCTCTAAGTCCAAAACATCCTGAAACCTATCTGAAACTCACCCGAGCCATCGGGGCTCTAAACCAAACATGCACACAAGGTTAAAAATATCATACGGACTTGCTTGCGCGATCAAATCGCCAAAATAACACCTAGAACTACGAATTTCGTATCAAAATCAAGGAAAAATCTCAAGAACTCTTAAAGTTTCCATTTTCACAACCGAGGGTCTGAATCACGTCATATAAACTCCCTTTCTTACCAAATTTTACATACATAACTTAAATACCATATTAATCCTGTACCGGGATCCGGAATTAAAATACGGTCCCGATACCAATAAGATCGAATGCGATTCAATTTCCAAAAATCCTTATATTTTTAGTTAAACAATTTTCTTCAAAAATTTATTTCTCGGGCTAGGGACCTCGGAATTTAATTCTGAGCATACTCCCAAGTCCCATATTTTTTTACGGACCCTTCGGGAGCGTCAAATTACGAGCCCGGGTCCGTTTACCTAAAATATTGATCGAAGTCAATTTAATTCCATTTTAAAGGCAAAATTTAGCATTTTTCTCAACTTTTCACATAAAGGCTTTCTGGATATACGCCCAGACTGCGCACGCAAATTGAGAAGATACAAAAGGAAGTTTTTAAGGCCTTGAAATAAAGATTTGACTTCTAAAATAAGAGATGGCCTTTTAGGTCATCACACACACACACTCACTCTCTCTCTCTCTCTCTCTCACACACACACACACACACACACATATATATATATACATATATATATATATATATTTCATTGCTTCCACAAGCATCATTAGCCACAATAATTCATATAAAGCCTATTTAGAAATACAATTAAGTTTTGGCAATGAAACATACTGGCAACTATAGCATAAGATCTTCTTCAATTACGTAATAAATGCAATATTATATTAGTAAAATGATTTAACAAAGGTTCAACAATATCAATTCAAATATTAAAACATCATTTGAAACATATCAATAAGCTTTGACAAGAGAAAAATAATTATCCATGTGCCGGTCGACCTTGATGCTTTTATAACTCCTCCACAAGCTACAATAACAATAGGGGAAAAAAGCAAATAACTAAATGATACAATGAGGCATTTTTATATAAAAATTAAATTAGAAATCACATATATACTAAATTATTAATATAAAAGATATTAATAAAAGTCTAAGTTACTTACGGTTAGATGTATTATTTTGTTGTAGACCTTGTGCTGCAAGTATCATTTGCAATTTTTCTTCCCATTGTTTACTCATTTCTGATAGCTCACTATTCATTTCTTTCTTGATTTCTTTAACTTTTTCCTTAGCTTCCCTTTTAACTTCTTCCACGCGCTCATTTGCTTCTTTTCTGGTCAATTCTAGTTGCTTTCTAAGTTGTACTTTTGTTGGTCTACCACCAAAATATTCGTTGATATTTTTTCCGGGTCCATATGCACGAAGATATCCATTTTTTCAGCCCCAAGTACTTTTTTAAAGATATCGTCATCATTTAAAGAAATTTCTCCTTCTTTTTGCTGCTTTTTAAATTGGTCGGATTGAACCTACAATCAAAAAATGCAAATCAATTAAATATATATACAAATGTATACTAAAAAGGAGATAAAAAGAAAAGAGAACACATCGACATTACAATAACATCTTGTTAAAAAGCATTAACTTGTTTTCTTTTTTTTTCTCTTGTGAGATTTCATAAAAACTTCAACACGAGAAGGAGTTTTTTCATTTTTTTTCTCCTGCGAAAAGATAATCGTTATCATTAATAAAATAAAATATGTGAATATAATTCTTCTAGAATCATTTTAAAATTATTATTATTATAGTGTTCATACCATTTCGTATCTAAGTCTTGCATAACTTTTGGTTCCAATATATGGTGGCAAGGAACATTTCGGTCTATTTGTCTTGTTCTGCGTGCTCTTCTTCTGAATAAAAATTAGAAAAATATTAAGAACATTAGTTATACAGAAAAGGACATTGATATAAAGAGAGCTTAACATGCCCTTCATTCTGAAAAAAGAAGTTCTCATATTTTCAAAACAGATATTGAAGATGGTGTTCATCCGAAAGTCAATAAAAAAGAAAATTTGAGCAACTTATGGACTAAAGACTTATTTGATATTTCCTAATAAATTATCAGGAAGCACTCTATGCCGTTAAAATGGTTACTGATACGTGGTATTAATCAGAGACTCCATTGACAATTATGAGAGCAATTTCTACTGGAGCTGATTACAACCCCATTGGCTATACTCATAAAATTTAACAAATCGAGTATGAAAATACAAAGACAATTAAAAGTACCATGCCCTTATATAAGAATAGGCCAGTGATAAAAATAGAGCTTAATTTCATTTGGAATCCAAACCCTGGATCACAGAAATAATAATACAACGTAAAATACTTTTATTTATCTCAACCACACCCATAATTAATTTTCCTAAATAATCTTGAGATCATCAAACTATGAAACATATAATAATAAAAAAAGGGTAAATAAATTAATATTACAATTTAAACACCTGAAAGTCGGTATCACTCTAAAGATTGACCAAATATTTTCATTCATCTACGGCAACAAGTTTAGGCTTGTTGCTTAGGAAAGGTTGGTAACTTGCTTCTGAATTAAAATACTTCTTCTTCAACTCGTACCTATAGTATTTGTAGAGGTCACTCATTTTACCAAGAATTACGCTTTTTCTTCCTTCGGACACATCAAAATTAAAATTTTCCTATAAAAAATAAATATCGTCATAGTTTATGATCAAATATTCTAGTAATTGTTAATCTATAAGAAATTATAAAATACTATAGATTTATTAGTTTGCTAGTTTTTCTTACCAAAACGATGTCCCACGTACGGTCGATCTTATTTTGCTCAATATCTTTCCAACCATTTACCTTTAAAGGGTAACAAGTTCGGCTTCTAACTATTTGGCCCAAAAAACAAATTAATTGCTTGCATTCTCATCAATTGCTTGATGATTCTCATCAAATTCTAGTGGTAGTTTTTGTCCCTCGTGTAAATTAATTATTTTCACGCACCGTATAGGACCTTTAGTTTTTCTTTTCACACCATTGGAACCTAGAATATTAAACGAAAAACGTCAAGTAAAAATATCGATAAAGGTGACTAAGATCAATAAAAATAATGATTACCTGCTGAATTTGCTGATTCATATTCTTTTACAACTGCTTCCATCACCTCTTCAGACTCAATAAAAATAATGATTACCTTTCTTTATGCATTTTATAACTGGCGAGCATGTTCTTAATATCTTGATCGTCATGACATTCAACAAAATCACTAATAATTTTGTCACCTCTCAAATAAAAGAACTTGTCTCCCTCACAAATATTGAAATTACAATACTCTTTTAAGTCATCCAACAGATCAAAGAAAGATATGAAATCAACATCAATATTTATTTTCTTCAAATGTCCACCTACATATTTTTCCCCTATGGGAAAATATAAAATGGCCACAATAATGATAGCTAATTTCTTTCCCCCTTATCATGTCCACGTTTCCTAGAAAATTATTGAAGATACATAAGTTAACTAGATAAGATTAAAGAAAGATACAAATTTGTCTAATTAAAAAAAAGATTTAATAATAAATTCAATATTGCACAATAATCATTGCAATTAACCGGATAACAAGTTCTTCTGCATATTGCGTGAGCAAGTTTTCATTAATATATCCCTTCTTAGATTTCTTAACAGATTTTGTCTCATGATTATCAGTTATGCGATTAGTTCTTTTTCTAAGATCATTCCTACCAATGTCTGGTTGCAAACAAGAATTTGTAAGACACTAAAATACATCATCATAAATACAAATATGAATGATATTTGCTATAATTACTATGTATCAATTTTATCTATTGAATAAATCCTCAAAGTGTAAATTTTATCAAATTAGCTAAAGTTATAAAGAAAATAAATTTGAGCAAAGCAAGTCAACTGTAGAATGACGAATGAGAATTTTTTTTTATAAAAGATAAATCATAGCACTAAAAAATCAGACAACTCAATTAAAAAAGATGATGTGTAGCAACAAAGTTTAGACATCAATTGAACTTTTAAAAATATTTGTACCCATCATATAACCACATCTCCTTTTCAATGAGTTTGAAAGTAACACAAAAAAAGATGTAAATTTCTTTATCTTTAAGATCCCACAAAAAGCAATCATCAGGAATTCGATTCTTAATAAAATTGAACCAAAAAGTAACAAAAAGTAATATATGCCGATAATCTAAGAACAAGCGAAGTTGTTAAAATCTACAAAATCAGACAAAATAATAGAAATTTAAAGGTTGAAAGTGCGATTGAGACAGAGGAAGAAAATAGAACCTTTGCTTCTAGGGATGACAAGATAAGTAATAAAAAATTCTGCCCCTCCGTCCTTGGCTTTCTTTTGTGAGTAGCACTTTAGGGTTTTTTGCTCTCTTATCTCTCTAATAGAAAAGGAGGCTTTGATTTAGGACAAAACATTTAGAGGGAAAAATGTGGAGGGAATCTTTCGTTTTTTATTAATTGTGTTATGTGTTTCAAAATGTGAATTCGTGTTTCCGTCCTAATAAAAATAACCAGAGAATGTTTATAGACACACTAAACTAAATATTTTATCTTTTTATAAAATCCATTTTAAAGTTTAAATATTTAGACTTCCTACAGAGTTCAAATTAAAAAAATTAATAAGTAAAATTTAACTAATCTTAAAGTACGAAATATTAATGAAATATTTAAATTATATTTTTATTCAATATAAAATTTATTTTTAAATGATAAAAAGCCAATCATATTTAATGTAGAGTTATCATTCTTTTATAATATAGATTTATACATATATTTAGTATGACTAAATATGCTATCAAATTATTTTGGGTGCTAAATTTAACATGGATTAATTCTTTTATTTGATTAGAATAAAAAAATTAAAATGCATATTTAATTGTTGTGCTGAAACTATTTTAATTTAGATTTAACTTAATATGTGATTGTATGTCCCATATTTCAAGTTAATAAGAAATCAATTGAAGGCACCCTATAAAATCTTTCTCATATTGATTTTATAAGTGTCACACCTCCTTTTTGCGCGCCCGGCCCCGAAGGGTTAAATGCGCGGGTGGAGTTTTTCCAATTTAAGTGACAATATTCGAAATGGGATTATTTATTTAATTCAGAGTCGCCACTTGGGAAAGGTTTGGCTTTTGGTGTCCCAAGTCACCGGTTTATCTTGAATCCCAAATCGAGGAAATTTTCGACTTTTCCAAATGAAGTCTGCGAACCAGAAATTCTAAGTAAGGAATTCTGTTGACCCGAGGGAAGGTGTTAGGCACCCTCGAATCCCGTGGTTCTAGCACGGTCGCTTAAATTGTTATAATGGCTAAATATCTGATTTAAATACATGTTATGACTTACGTGCTTTTATTAAGTTTAAACCGCTTTTATTATTATCATTTATTTTTATAGAATTGCAACGTCGTGAAAATGTATCTCGAACTACGTTGCAATCAATGCACCCGTAATTGTTAAACACACTTCGACTCCGTTGAGATTTGGATTCGGGTCACATCAATGTGCACCCGGGTTTTAAGAATGTAATTTAATTAAGTCGCGCCTAAAGAATCTAGCGCATTATTATTATGTAGGAAACCGTGAAATTCGCTAAGCGGCCTATCCTGAATTCTAAATATTTATTATGGTTAATTATTGAGGGCCCCGCAATTTACATTTCTCATTTGGCGAGGCTCGTCTCATTATTTTAGAAGGAACATCCTAAAGCGACTACATTTCTAATGTGTTTATCTCTAAAAATAGAAGAAAAGATGCATGCTAATTCAATTATATGTTTGGCCAAATCCAGATTTTAGTTAATCGTCTGATTAATTATTTGCAGAGTGAAGAAACGTTGTACCTCATGAAAACATGCTTTTAACTTGATAGAAGAATTATATACGAGATTGATGAAATGCTACGACTGTTACAAGAGCTCCCTAACTTTAACTTATT